TCCCTCCCTCCCTCATACGCGATAGACGAGGCTTGGTTCTTGTTGATTTTTTTTTTACATGGGCGCCGTGGCGTACTATATCTAAATTACTAAATTGCAATAATACGGCGTTCTTTCTACAATTAGATCTACAAATAAATGTATTATTAAATAGATAAAGATAGAGATATGAGCTTTAAAAAAAAGAAGGAAAAAACCCCCAACCTTTATTTCTTCATCAGCACTTTATCTACGAGGTGGTTTATTTCTTATTGACCGAATCAAAGCGTATAGGGCCTATAGAACTTTTAAAAAGAAGTATGAAAAGATGTGGGTGTCATGGGGACCTCCTATAACCACCCTACCCTCTCTCTCCTCCCGAATCCCAATACCAACCCCCCCGGCCCCCCTCAGATATATGAGTTTGGCATTAAATTAAATGAGGATGAGCCATAGGAAAAAAAATTCCAGAGTTTTTCAGCCTTTAGGTGTAGGAATGCAATGAAGCTCTTGATAAAGCAAATTCAGCCAAACAAATGATAAATACATGTACTGGTATTTTTAAAATCGAGTTAAACTTTCCCATGTGACATTTGAACAGGAAACTATTTTTCATTCATACGTTCACTTTTTTAAAAAGTATACTAAATTATAAGTAGTGCTTTCTTATGTCGGTATTAAACTTTGGTTTATATTGATTTTAAGAACCATATAAAGCACTTAAACTAAAGCTCCACCTATTGCTGTTTTAAGTAAGTCTAATTTTGGACATTAGTAAAGCAACTGTGACAACTCTGGGCTCACTAAAGATAAAAAAGTGAACTTAAACGTTGTTTTGTAGCCAAGTCAATTGTTTTTCTACTCAGTGTAGTGATAACTGAAACAAAAACCTTTACTAAGGTGTTTTTGGACAACATTCAATAAACCAAAACAATAAAAAGTACACTGTTTCTGTTTGATAAAGAAATTTCCTGCCCATTGAGAAAAAGATCTAGCTGCTAGTCAACCTTAACTTCACATGGCCCAGAACCTTACTGATGGCTCTTTATGTTTTAAAAAAGAAACCCGGAGTGACTATTTGTGTCTATAAGACATATTATGCACTAAAAAAAGATGACGTAATAAAAGAAAACAGACATCACTGAACTGCCTGACAGAACCAGTAAGACGTTAATCCAGAAAGGGACAAGAGGTTTCACATGCTTGCACCTTTAAGAGAATCACTTGGAATCAAAACATAACGTTAGAATCAAATAAAACACGTAAGACTAAGAGCATAGACACGCCCACTCACATGTAAACAAACTTTTTAGCCACATTAAAAATGGCCGCCAACAAACTCAAATGTGTCCGTGTCGCGTAACTTCGTACGGACTCTAGTTTAAAAGGAGGTAACTCTATGGTCTGACCCAGCAAAGCTATCTATCATGTGCTGTTATAGTGGTTGGTGACTATTTGTCATATATGCTGGGCTTGTTTTCAAGATTTCTTGCTGTTACTTTTTCTTGTTGGTGGTCGATGGGTGCTTTTGTGTACTCTACTCCTTTTATTTGTTTTCAGTGTTACTTCTAATGCAAATAGTCTGCGCTGAAATGAAGCCATGTTTGTACTGATTGCCCCTAATTTTTTTACTTTACTGCTTCAACATAATTTTTATTTGGGCAAGGTTTTTATTTTATATTTTTTCCAAACTTTCCTACAGGAAAAACAGAAACAGAAGAAAGGTGGCAAAAAGGAGGAGGAAGGGGAGTCAGTTTTGGCTGCTGAGGACGCAGAGAAGTCAGCTGATGCAGCGGTCAGCAAAGAAGGCACTCCTGAAACGGCTGAAAAAGAGGAAGACAAGGAAGGTGAGAATTACTTACCTTAATTTTAATGGTTCATGGCCAATAAGAGAATAAGAACAATTTTATAAAGCTGTTTTCTTAACAAATTGTCGTTGTGCTTTCAGCTATCAGTTTGGTAAAAGTTTTACTGTGCATAAGATCATAATAATGCTCTTATTGTGAGTACACTTTAAACTGTGTCTAATAATATCTTGATGGTATTTTTACTTGAAAAGTTTAAGATGTTGATAATAAAAGCGCTTTTGAGTCCTTTTGAGTTTGTTGGATATTGTGTTCCATTGATTAATTACTTATGAGTAGTTTTAGCTTTTCCAGCAGTCTTTGGGCTGGTGTCCTCTACCCCAATACCATGTTTCAGAGGGTATAACTCTTGGTTATTATAAGTTGTTCTTTAACCCCTAAAGTGGGTATTGTTTTAGTTGAAATGGGGAGGGAGTTGTTGCAGATCTTTCAGGTTAGGGCATTGGATGAAAAAGTGCTGGACAATGTCATTTGGGTGGTCAGTAAGTGGGCACAGTAACAGATTTTTGGTTTGATTCCTCCCAAGTGGCAATTAGTTTGCCTGTGATGCTCATGGAAGCGACACATTAAGTGAAAAAGGACATTTGGAGTATGTTTAAATGACTGTCAAACTGGTATTCTCCTGTACTTTTAAACTTTGAAACATATTATTAACTGGAGAAAAGTTTGTTGTACTTGACTGAATTTGAACAGCAGTCTTTTATCATCTTTATTGTAGAAGAGGATAGAAAAACATTTTTGAATGGTAATGCAAGACCAGATCTATTGAGTGAATGCCTAACTGCCTTTGAAATAACTGAATGAAATTCATTTATCCCCTCATTTGGATATCACCGACATTTCCCCTCTTCAGTCAAGGGTGAATATTACTTCCAACACTTGTTTGCCACTCTTCCTTTATGAAGTCATGTCAGCAAAAAATAAATCCCAGTGATTATGTGCCAGTCATTTTCAAAGTTTGTGTTTTGCTGAATAAATGGTTATCTGTTGCTCTCTGCCTCTACAGATGGTAAGGAAGGCAAGAAGAAAAAGAAAAAGAAAGGAGAAAAGGAGGACAAAGAAAAGCCAAAACCTAATAAAATGGTATGTTGCTGTCTTGGTAAAACCAAAAAGTTGTTCAGCAATAAAAGTGTTTGTGTGTTGTTATGGATCATCATTTAATTTGCCAGTGCCTGTTTACATACAATCCACAAATGCAGATATTGGCCAAAAATTTACACCATGGTCAAATTTCTAGGTTTTCTATTGATGCAATATTCATTAAGTACTAAATACCTTTAGTTATTTCATACTTACTAAATGTTAAACCTTTACTTATCAGCAGTGCTTCCACTCTTCCGTATTTTTACGGAAATCCGTACTTTCTGCCAGTTCCGTACTTGTCCCTCCATCATTATCTACTCCCTCCGTAAAAAAAACTGCGACAGTGCAGGACTGCCGAAATTCTGTACTCGCCCTCGTATCGTCTTGTATAAGGTACGGATATTTACGGTAATTCTATCGGCAACAAGTTAACGTTATAGAAACCTGCCAAATTGCGCATTTCCTGCAATCGGACATTATACCGCTATGTCCCAGTCCCATGCATTCATTGCGTGTTGGTCGGCAGTACTTTTTTTACCTGCAGATGGATCAAAATCTGGCGAACCTTTTGTGAAAACTTCCTCCTTTCTGTCATTCACTCATTCCTTCTGTCTATCTTCGGATTGTTGCCGCAGCTGGAAAATCTGCGCGTTGATCAAGACTGATTTTGATCTTAGAAAATTACTGTCGGAAAGAAACTTTTTTCGCAAATTTTATCTAGATCTAGAGAAATTATCAATGCGAAGAATCTACGGCACGTGAACGCATTATAAGGGCCGCGATGAAAGAAATATATGCTGGTACGGTCGTGCCCACTACGGATGGGATCGGCTGATTGCGCTAATCGCCCGACTCGGTCGAACAACCGTGTTTGCTTTGAAACTGAAAACAAACACGTTTGTTTTTGAGGCGATCGAGTCGGGCGATCGGCCCGATCGGCCGATCCCGTCCATAGTGGGCACCACGTATAAAATCAAGAATAATTGTAAGTGGTGTTCCGAGGTTGTGACAGGCGACTTTCAGACATGAAAATTTAGAAAAAATGTGGGTATACGCTGCGCAACCGTATTTTGAAGGTACATCTATTCATTTTTCCCAGGTTTGCCTGCTGTTAATGGTGCGACTACAAATTAATTGCATTATAGTAGCAATGAAAGGGGAACCTGCTTGTAAACATTTCCAGCATTGGAAAGATATGCTGGCGATGAAGTCAAACAAGACAAAATGTTGGTGAAAAAATAAATATTATGGGCTGTAGGCAAGGAGCTTAGAACTAATGGAGCCTCCTCTCTCTCTTCGCGGCGCCGCGAGCAGTACGCCGCGTTGGGGATCAAATATGGCCACCGAGTGTGGGCTAAAATCACGAACTGTGGCGTTTCTTTTTATAGAATTTTATCGGGCTGGGCCACGTTGTGGGGGTGGGCGGGGTGGGGGAATGCACGCAAGGAAGAGGGGATGGGGCTGGGATGAAAGAGGAGGGGCGGGCCTTGGGAAGGGACGAAGGAGAATGGGAAAAATTAAATGAGAGAGACAGAGAGAGAGTGAGAGAGAGACAGACAGACAGACAGAGAGAGAGAGGGAGAGAGAGAGACTGACAGACAGACAGACAGAGAGAGAGAGGGAGAGAGAGAGACTGACAGACAGACAGACAGAGAGAGGGAGGTTGTGATCAACTGACGGGCTGACGGATAATGACAGGGAGAAAAAATTATGTGTGTGATAAGGACTGTTCAATTCTTTAAGAGTTTTATGTTATAATCTAGTTTAAAAATAAAAAGATGTGTAAAATAAGAAGAAAACTTGTCCGAGTAACATAAAATTATCAAACATACCAAATTAAAAAGATAATCTTTCAAGATGCTAAAATATATAATTATAAGAAATGGATGAAAATATACTTTTAAACTGAATTTAAGATATATGATTGCATGATTCTAGGCGTGTGCCATAACTAGCTTTATGTGTAAGGAATAGCAGACACAAAAGAGGGTCGATGTTTGCTTTATCTAATTGCTAACAGTATGTCTTGGTCTATAAATAATATTATTGATCACAATAATTTTGTTTCCTGGTTTTCACAAAGTGGAGCGCACAATGATTTCAAATATTCCCCCCCCAAAAAAGAGATAACAGCACCCTTGGAGGTGTGATCGCATGCATGAGCGTGGATAACCTTTGAAAGGGTTTTTTTTTTTCAGTAAAGTATGATATGGAGAGCAGCGTTTTTAGTCCCTTATTACGCTCCAGAGGGGGATAATTTATCTTAGTGATGACTCTTGTGTAGTAAAATTTGTTGTTGCTTTGTTTGGTTTATTTTTTAACAGCAGAATCTTAAGTGAACCGGAATTATTGATTGTGGGATCTTAGGTGAAGACTACAACAATAGAATTAAACCGAGTATAGTTCTATCTAACAAGACTCAAACTCTTATCCACCCCACCCTACCTTCTCCCCTCATCTGATATGGTTTGGTGTTTCTTTAACATAAAAAATATTCATCATTATTGTTTTTGAATATTGATTTCATGTTCTAATGGAGCCTCTTGATATCTACATTTAGACTACAGTAGCATCTAATTTGCACACACAAAGGAAAGCAATATCTTTAATTAAAATGTATAATATGTATATACATACACACACATAATAATTATATATATACTCATAATAATTATATATATTTATGAATAAGAATACTTTAAACAAATTGATTATCTCAGTCTTTCTGCTGGGGTGTTGTATCCCTTTCAGCCTGGGTTGGCCTTGGCATATAGCGCCGGAGCCAGCCTCTTATGAATATTAATGATTCAAATTGTGTTCCTGGGGGCATAGAAACACTTTCATTCAAATTTTTTAAAAGGGAAACAACTTAACTGTGAAAACTTCGGTCCACTGCAGCATCATATCGGTTCTTACACTTAAATACAACACAGGTGCAAGGCATTTTTACTAATTGACTTGCCTAATCTGAAGGACCTCGGAATAAAACCTTCTTTCTTATCTAGATTTCAGTGCCTTAATCGGGCAATCGCGCAGTGCAGGTAGCCCACGGTTCCGCCGCGAGAGAGGGCTCCTATCAGGCGTGCGGTGCCGCCCACAGAGCATCCTCCATTACTTTTAATCTCCTTGACTGTAGGCAATATCTTCAAACAGGCTCCCAAACCGTATTTTGAAGGTACATCTATTCATTATTCCCAGGTTTGCCTGCTGTCAATGGTGCGACTACAAATTAATTGAATTATAGTAGCAATGAAAGGGGAACCTGCTTTTAAACATTTCCAGCATTGGAAAGATATGCTGGCGATGAAGTCAAACAAGACAAAATGTTGGTGAAAAAATAAATATTATGCGCTGTAGGCAATATCTTCAAACAGGCTCCCAAATGCCATTTTCTACCCTCTAAAAGCACTAAATTTCAATTTCTTAGGGGCCTTCGCCCCCTAAACCCCCACCGGGACGCTGTCCCTGGACCCTGCTGGGGGCCTCTGCAGCCCCCAGACCCCCTGCAGAATTTTCCTTACTTTTCAGCTTCAGCTGGTGGAAGCACTGTATAAGCACGACGTATCTATTTCCATAGGGGGCAAAAACGAGAAGTAACTCATTTTGTCAGCACGCTTCACATTTATCATCTAATAATGGATAAAACTTACCGTGTATGGTTCGTTTGTGACTGCCAGCACATTTTTGTTTCGGTTTTACCAAAAGATAGATATAGAAGAGCTGCCTACGGTTACGGATTTTCTGTATTTAGTACAGAAATCGGCCTCAAAATACAGAAGTATGGAAACTTTGAAAAAGTACGGATTTCCGTCGAATCATCGATAAAAATTTAGAATGAAGAAACCCTTGAAGCTCTTATTGTGGCCAAATCAAGACCAGGAGTGGCTGAGGAAAGGCAGTATTCTGAGAAGCAACTACGAAACCTGAAGTGAGCCTACTACAGAAGGAGTAGCTACTTTCAACTTTCAGCCATGTAAATACAGTCGAACCTGTGTAAGTGGGAATCGCAAGGGAGCCCAAAAAAAAAAATTCCGTCTTAAACAGGGGAATTTAGGTGGGGATGGAGGTGGAGGGGGGTTTCAAAGGCCCAGCCGCGGGATCAAGGATCGCGCGTCCGGTCGGCATGCAGTCACAAGTGGTCAAAACTGCACACCTCACAGCTGCTATCCTCTCTGATAATGACATGCGCCAGTCTTACTTATCCAATAACCACGAGTGCTTGCGTTTCATAGGACCACTGTTTGATGGATTAAAAACAGAGAAACGTTTGAACATCTTATTTGCTTCCACCCTTAGCCGCATCCATCAGTGTAACAAGCACAGTTAACCAATGCCACCCCTCAGTGCCATGTAACAACGATTTGAGGAATTCCTTTCTCGGCTGGCTGTACGATGAGGGCAGCAGGCATTGGTCAGTCTAATTTCGCACTTCTGGCTTCTGGCTACCCAGAAAAGTTTCCGTGGTTGCTCGCTACTTGAGCACTTTCACTGGCACTCTTGAGCTTTCATACCCACACCCCTGACCATCTGCATCGCTGAGGGCTCCCATAGATGGAGTAATCTACTCTCCTTCCTCGGCCGGCGGACAGCTGGCGGCACCAAACTTGTTTTGTTTCAAAACAGGGCTGATCGGGCAAAGCATTTTGTGTCTTAGACAAGTGATACCCTCGGAAGGGAGCGGATTTTTCTTACCGTTTCCGCATTTGTACAGGTTTCCGTTTTATACAGGTAATTAAAGAGGAATATATCAAGGGGGGAGCGGGGGGAGATTCCGTTAAGACAGGCTTCTGTTTTACACAGGTTTCCGTTAAGGCAGGTTCGACTGTTGTTATAAATATTCTGTATATAGGTGAGTCCTAATTTTACCCATTTTTTCTTCTTAATTTTTTTATCCACAGCCATAGACCTCTCATGACTGTTGTGCATAATAATATTAAGTTTATTTTGGCAACTTTTAAAGTGCTAGATGGTATCAAATAAGTGCAAATTTACGTAGCGCGAAAGAGAACTGAAACTTGCGGAAAAAGTAGGGAAAAGCACTGAAAATTGGGGGGCTCTCGTGACCTAGAGGTTAACGTGTTGGCCTCTCATTCAAAAGGTCCCGGGTTAGAATCCGGGTAGCGACCGAAAAATTTTCTTCTCTAAAATTGTCTCCTTTCACCTCCTTTCATGCTCTCTAGCAATGATCTGTTGTCTGCTTTCGTTTCCACTTTCTGCCCCCACCCCCTCACCTCCTTTGTTCCCCCTCCTCTGGGCTCCTGGCTCTTTCTGCAGCCTTTCTACTGCTACTCCTTGACTCCTCCTAACTGCTGTCTTTCAGCTACACCCGTGATCTTCTGGTAGGAAAGATCTACACCTAGCCTTCTCGGACAAGGGTGAAAAATCTCGGAGGGCCCGTGTGCAAGTTGCGCATGTTAAAGATCCCTTGGTGGTCTAAAATCGATAAGAGTAGGCTTCAGCCGCCACCTGGGCAAAATTCAAAATTTCCTACCAACTGAAAATATTAGGTGTGTCCCGCGCGCTCATATGACCTTATGCAGTTGCGAGCGCCGTAAAAACACTTACCAAAACAAACGAACAAACTGAAAATTGGCTTTGGAGTACTGATAGGCTCTTTCATGGGTAGGCAGCTCTGATACAGTACACCAAACCTATCGACTAATTGCATTTGGCACAACTGTGGGTTATGCCATTTTGCTAGTGCAGTGACGATAATTTGTAGTGTGATTGTGAAATTGTGTAAAGGGAAAGGTATGCTCCAAATTAACTTTTGTACTTTCATATCTAATCTTGACAGCTGGCCAAGTTGAAAGAGCAGCTGAAAAAGATCCAAGAGGAAGATCAAAAAGCGGAGGAAGAAAGAGAGAGGCTGCGGATAGCAGAGGATGAGAGGATAAAGCGTCTGGAAGAAGAGGTTTGTGGACTGATGTTTGTCAGATAAGATGAGACATACTCTCTCTCTTTTCTCCTCCCCCTCCCCCCTCCATTTTGCTCTCTCTCT